GTCGAGTATTGAAGTTGTAACCCGCTGTCGGTGAGTCTGGTCTGTTCATGCCTTGTCAAGTCAAGTCTGTGTCTCTAGTCTTAATTTATCGTTTGGATGTTTGGATCACCTGTAAATAAACTGCACATGGGTTCTTCACTATGCTCGCCTTCAGTGGACTGATTCATTACAGAATACACAACCAAAAGAATGAACCCAGCAGTTGCACTTCTGCAGTTACGTCAAGGCCATCGGGCAATAGAGGATTATGTTCAGGATTTTTGTGAACTTTCTAACCGGGTGGACTTTAATGATGTGGCGTTAAAGGACATTTTTCAGGTGGGTCTGAATGAGCCCATTTGCTCCCAGCTTCCTGGGGGAAAGGTTCACTGGTCCCTTGCCGAATATATAGACTTTGCTCTGCGGTTGAGTGGATCTGCTTTCACTGTGGGTGTCGTGGAGAAGGAACACTGCACTAAACCAGAGCCAGAGTCTGCTCACGTCACGTCTGCTACACCAAAGCCTGCTAACGTCTTGAGTTCAGCTCATGAAAAATGGGGGCAAAAACAAGAGTGATGCGTTTATAATTTTGTTCAGTGTATATATTTAACTAAAACTGAAACCATAAAAAAATATTTATTTGAAATGAAAAAAACATACCTGAAATAAAATAAAATAATAAACTTATTTTATTTCAGCTAGATGCAGGGCAACATTTCTTATTTTATTTAGTTGAATTTAGTTATTTAGTATACTATAGTTTTTTACGATTGTTTACACACTAAAATAAAAATGTCCACACAATTTGCAAAATTCTACTCCAATGAGCAAAACACCTCCACAGATTTGCACAACATTACACACAATGTCTGCTTCACCCTTTTTGCAAAACATTACACACAGTGATTTGTAACCCGGTTTTCAAAATTGCGTGTAAACAATTGAAAAAAACTGTAAAATAAAAAAATGAATAAAAAAGGTCATAAAAATTATATAGACATTTAATATGACAAAAACACAAAATTACTAAAAATTTAAGTGAAAACAGACAATATAGAAATACAATCTAATTCAAAATATTAACAAATTCACAATAGTATATTACTGACAATAACACTGGTTCAAATATTAATTATAATTCTAAATTTAAATAGCAAATACGTAAAATAAACATATGGTGACCAGCAGGAAAAACAAATAACTAAATATAAAATAAAATAAAAAGTTATCCATATTTTTGTATTGCTATTTATGCTGTTTTTCAGCAATTGTCTCACTTGTGTCTATTTTTATTTTAGAAAAACATCTAAAAAACTCCATTAGGTCTCCTGAGCTCCTGAGATTTTCCTCTGGGAAATCCTGTCTTGTTATTTTACTGCATGCAATAAACCTGTGTTTGTGTGTGTGTGTGTATGTGTGTGTGTGTGAGAGGGAGAAAGAGACACTTTAAGTTTCTATGCTGACATTGTGATAATCTTCTGTCCTTTGTAGATCTGAAAGATGTTAGTGTAATGTGTGTGTGTGTGTGTGTGTGTGTGTGTGCGTGCGTGCGTGCATGTGTGTGTGTGTGTGTGTGTGTGTGTTTCTGTGTGTGTGTTTGCATGTGCATGTGTGTGCTGCTGTGCTCATGTGTGTATGACAGGTAATTATTGTTCGTTAAGCCCTGTTTTGCATGTGCATACCTCATTAACTGAGTGCAAATAGAGAGTCCAGCTCCCATAAATCCTCAATCTTCTAGTGGTGTGTGTGAGTGTGTGTGTATGTGCAAGTGCATGTCAATATAGCCTGATTTTCCCAGCAGTCTGTGTGGTGGTGCTAAATAAATGAGCCGAATGAATCGCATCCCATAATGCTCTAGGATGAGTCTGCTCACAATGTCAGAGCGGAGATATATGGGTTACCTGTTATTGCATCAATGCATGCATACACATAACACTCACACACACACACACACACACACACACACACACACACATCACTCACATACACCTCACACACATTCTTCACAATTTATTAAACATAATTTCCTGAAAATATTCCTCCTTCCATCAAAACAATCTCTCTTATCCTTTATATGCACATCACATGCTTCTTTATAAATCACCTTATTCTCCACACAGACACACACACGCACACACACACACATACACACACACACACACACACACAGACACTGTACTGAGCTACCTAAATGAAGACAAACCACTTTTTACTGTTTTTATGTAAAGATAATTATATTGACTAACCGTAAACAAAAAATAAATAAATACAATTAACTGTGAAAAAAAAATGTTTTTAGAAAAAGCATAATACTGTGTATATATATATATATATATATATGTGTGTGTGTGTGTGTAGAATTCAGATGCACAATCTGCACAAAGTCCGTCTGAGATTTTTCTTTTAAATAAGCCTTTGTATCAGTGGCCTGTGTTTAGGTTCAGTAATTTCACTTTAATGGCAAAGATAAGGTTATTAGTCAGTTATTGAATGCCTTATTTTCAAAAATGTCCAATGTTATTTTCATAGGATCCTGATAAAAATGCTCATTATAAATCATTATATTATTTATGAATTGTTTTTGCAAATGGAGATGAGGTTTTGTCATATTAGTTCATATGTGGGGTCAGATTAAACAAACTAAACCCACACTTCTTGTATATAAAGCTGATTATAATTATTATACTACATGTCTTGGAAGAGAGGTTTTGTTACTAGCTCAATTATGGGGACAAATTGTAAAGCTAAGAACACAGCTCAGTAAAGACGCACACATAACTGCTGCTGTTGCTTAGCCAGTGTGTAATTTCCTGAATGACAGCAGTTTTGCTCCTGATGTGATGACGGACAGGAGGAAGGCTTGATGTGTTTCTCTCTCTTCAGGGCGGCGGGCTGAGGTTGATTGACAGCAGCTCTGGGGTCGCGGTGTATCTGTTCTCCACAGCTGAGCGCAGGATAGATCTCCTGCCAGAGAGCTTTCAGCATCAGGCTTCAGGACTGGCTGTCAGTAAGAGAGACTTCCACAGCGTCCTCAACAACATCCAGCGTCTGCTGCTCCGGGCCTCCTCCACTCAGGAACACAGCGCCATCTACAGGTGCACGGCAGCGTCGCAGGCACACACAGACACGCGCTCTCTCTCTCTCACACACACACACACACACACACACACACTCAAACCACAGGTCAGGATTTAGTGGACTGTGATCCAGAGCCAGAGCACAGATTGGTTCTATCCAGAATTCAAATCATTTATCATAAATTGGAATTCTGAACATTTTCTTCATTTGTCTGTAGACTGTGAATGCAACACAGGAGCTGCTGCAACATGCATGCAACATATTTAAAATGTATATATACAGTGGTGGCCAAATGATTAGAACACTAGTATTTTCACCAGTTAAAAAATGGTTTTAAGTCAGTTAATTCTATTTTTGCTGTAGTGTGTCAGTAGGAAATAGCAGTTTACATTTCCAAACATTAACTGTGCCATTAATTGTAATAATCCAGTGAGATTTTTGTGCTCCACACAGAGATCTGATCTGATCATCATCAGTCTCTCTGGAATGCAGTGGTGGAAAATGTACTTAAGTACATTTTTCAAGTATCTGTACTTTACTGGAGTAGTTTTATTTTGAGTAATTTTTACTTTTGCTTCACTACATTCCAAAGCATAAGATCGTACTTTTTACTTCACTATATTTCATAAAACTTATCGTTACTCCTTATAATATATCACGTGCTCCGAGACGCAGAAGCGGTGTCTGATTCATGAACGAACTGATTATTTTCAATGAACCTGTTAAATCGGTTCGCAAATCGCCCCAAACAATTCATTCACGAATTGGAATGATCCGATTGGAGCTGTTCTCGAGTCGACACCTCACTGATTCAAATGAACCGTTTAGTGCGAGTCTCCAGTGAACTGAATTCACAAGTAAGAACCGGGAGATCTTGTGAGCGCGCGCGCGTCTGGTGCTGCTAAAAATACGTTTCTAATGTCGAATTTTAGGATTAATTATTGTAACTGAAAATCATATTTAGGTCAAAGCTGTTAGTTGTTTGTGAACTAAATCTGCTTTAAAGGGTGATCTGTTTAAGCCCACTGAAATGCTTGAATGCAGACACATTAACATCAGAGTCTCTATGTTTTTTTGGTAAAAAAAAAAACATTAAAATAACACAGATTAAATAAAATAACTCATGCACCTTCATCTTCCCCGCTGCTGTAACGTTAGCAGTTTTACTAAAATGCTATGCATTTAGCCCTATGTGACGTCTGTTTTTATATTGTTTGTCAGCACACATAGCCTAAGTTACTATGTATCTGGATCAACTAGCCGAGTAGACAAATATAAATGTTTATTCATAACCATGCTGAAAATAAGTCAATGTTAGCTGATGCTAACTGTCTAGCTAACGAGCTTGCTGGTGCTAAATTTAATGGTAATTTTTTTTAAATAAAGTCCAAATATTTTTATTCAACTACCTAGATAGATTACATCTGGGGGGAAAGAAAGGATGTGATGTTCAGAACATGGTAACTACAGTTATTATCAAAGTAGGAAGTGATGCCCTCTGGGGGCATTTGGCCAGGGGTGTTTTTACACCACAGACAGGTTTGAGAAGAAAAAAATCATTATGAAAATATAATTATATTTTCCTTATTATATTCATTATTTCCTTATTGGTTATTTTGGGAAAATCTTATACTGTTCATTTTTTTCTGTTTTTTTACAATCAGATTTTAAACTGATTTGATGTTTCAGAGTAGATTAAAAGCAATCAGAGCCACACAAGTGTCTGTCTCACACACACACAGTTTATTTATTTACACTCAAACCTAGACGTTTAACTACAGTCAAGTCATTTGTACTCTTTATATGGTTAAATATAATCTTCATTAGAGCTCAACAAGAGAAATATCACATACAGTAGAAATGTTAATGTGAACACCAGCAGAGTGCTGTTGTGTCAGGAAACCTCTGCATTATATCATTATATTATCTTATCATGTTGTGTTTGTATTTCAGCATGTGTTTTGATGCAGTTTGAGTAATATAGAATAGGTTTGTAAGAATAGGCATGAATTCCCACAAACTGCTGGACCTAATTATTAAACCAAGCCTGTTATTAACTCTTTAGCTATTAACCGAATTATGCGATTAATCACAATTAAGCATTGTAATCAACTGACAGCCCTATAGCAGTATCCTGTGCAGTGATATCCTCTCTCTCTGTGTGTCTGTCTCAGGTTGGGCCGTGTGAGCATGAGTGTGGCTGCTGATGGCTCTGGCAGCGGCGTTAAGGCCCGCGCTGTGGAGGTGTGCCAGTGTCCTCCCGGATATGACGGCACTTCCTGTGAGGTAAGCCAGAAAAACAATGCTACATATAACAACGTAAAAATGGACAGGAGATGCTCTGATGTCTGACACGGGAGAATTTAGACCCTTCTCTGAAAGCTGACAGTAGCTATGTTTCCATCCAAAGATGCGAATTTAACTTATGCGCAAAACTGGAATATCGCATAAAACATTTGCGAATAAAGCACCGTTTCCATCCAACGAGTCAAAGAGAACAAAATCGTCACTTCCTGATAAACTGGCACTAAATATCTCCAAGAACTAGGATAAAACTAGGAGAAGCCACTGAAAATAATTTTCATATGTAATAAATTACTTGCGCCTCAGAGAGAGCAGACGTAACATAATAAATGCAGTCATTGCTTTTAGAGGTGGATAGCTGCTGTTTGGAACGCAGTCGTGTAAGACAATTATACAGAAATGCTTTGATGACAGACTTTCCTCAGGCATTTCAGAACAACCAAAACAACATATAGATGCTGTGAGCGAGATCAGTCCACTTGTTTGTCAAGTTATCCCGTCTCATAGCGCAAAGTCACATGACTTTTTCAATGCGCATGGTGGAATTTATTCGGTAAATGTGTTTCCATCGTAGTTTATGCGCGAACATAGCTAGTGATTGTAGTCAGTGTTGGGGGTAATGCATTACAAGTAACGTGAGTTACGTAATCAGATTACTTTTCCCAAGTAACTAGTAAAGTAATGCATTACGTTTAATTTAGAAGGAAACATCTGAGTTAATTTTTCAAATACGTAGCGCCAGTTACATTGTTTTTCCATGTCTTGACTAACAGCTCTGGTGTTGCCATGTTGAGAGAAATCAGGAGTAAGTGCAGAGGCGTTGTGTGTGAACATGATCTTACTGTAGTTCTAGACTAAATACGAACATGTATTTACTATCTCACCTGCACAAAACCAGATTCAGTATTCCTCAAAGTAAATAAAAACAGTCAAATGCAAACTCAGAATATTATACAAACATGCAATAATTAAATATGTTAAATAAGACAAATATCATGTATGTATTTAATCCCATTTTATTAACCAATGTATTTGCTGCTGACGTTTGATGATACAATTCAACCATACTAAGCAAAAATGACACATTTGTGTTTGATTTTTGTTATTGCTGAAAAGTGTTGAACTCTCTTCTCCTGCATCATATTCTTCATGCAATTTCATGCAACACTTTTGGTGTGAAAGGGCTTTTACATTTGTAAAAGAAGAATGTTTTATATTAAAAACAAACAAGCAAGCCCTGCCCAGATTGAAAAAGTAACGCAAAAGTAACGTAACGCATTACTTTCCATAAAAAGTAACTAAGAAATGTAATTACTTTTTAGGGAGTAACGCAAACATTGTAGTGCATTAGAGCACAGTATATTTGTAGGTCAACCCATATGTTGGCATCAGCCTGGTTCCCTCTACAAAAAAACAATAGGATTTTTCCATTGCCTTTTCGATTATTGCAGAAAATGAGCTCTGTAACCAACAAACGTTTATGATTCTTACAGGTTTTGCTCGTAATGATAAGCTTCACAAATGAACACAACTTTTATGAATTTTGATGGCTAAATACAATCGTCAAAAGTAAAAAGCTAAGCATAGGATATAAACAAACTGCACTGCAGTTGCATGACTTTAACAGCTCTATCTATTTTTGAAAAGTACAGTAAAATGGTTTTCAAGAGCATGATTATAAACACAACGAGGCAAGTGAATAGATGAGTTTTCCTGTTCTTTGTAAAGTTTAATGTCTCTGACAACCTCTGTAGTGCCATTTAGACACTTGTTATCAACAGCCTTTTTCAAGACAAATAAAAGCTTTTTAAAAATCACAAGAGGTTATTACTGATGTATTTTATATTGTAGAAAATATATATTAATGTGAAAATATCTTGAGCTTGTGTTCACCACTGACCTCCCTAGTAAAAAAGTACTATATTTAAAATGCATTTATTTCATACTAAGTATAGTTCAAATCTATTAACATATTTACTGACGCATCGCTCGAGACTTACTGATATAAAAATTGTAATTAAACTTTATTTGGAGTACTACTTGTGCCCAATGCACATTTCCTAATGGCAAGCCCAACATGTGTTTTAATGTCACTATTGATGAAGATTGTATGATCTTTGAATAATATCGGTCTTTAAATGCAAGATATTTAAAGTGCACCTGAAGTATACTTGCAATAGTTTCACTTTAGCACAATCAAACATACTTCAGTATATCTTTTGATGGACTTCATCACTACTTCCCCACAATTAAAGTGCATTAAACATAAAATTAGTAGTTTTAATTTAGCAGACTAAAAGTACAATTGCAGGATATTTTTATTAAGTACATAAATATGTAAATGTATTTGTAGTATCCTTAGCATGAAATAAATATATTTCAAATACATTTAAGTAGTGCTGGGCGGTATGACCAAAAATTTATATCACGGTATTTTTCAAAATTATACCGGTTTCACGGTACATGACGGTATTTTGTTTTTTCATGCATGACCGGGTGTTGACCATATGTTCTACTGATTGAGAGAGGAAATACTGCAGTATATTGACTTAGAATGCCCTATTTTACTGTCATGATGAGTGAATATTGTCAAAAAATACCACACTATATAGTGACTAAACACGACCCCTTTTAATACATGTTAACCAGGAGTCACTCTCATTTATAATTGCGGCATCGTCTGATAAAATCAACATGCATCTACACTAAAGAGCGGCTATGCGGTTGTTTTGGCTATATTACTTTTTTGTCTCATGCAGCGCACTGCCTGCGTCTGAGTAACAAACTAAACAAAACAACAAACAAAAAAGTGCATGTGATATTAACAGACGAACAGCGCTCATATTTATAATTCCAAACAATCAGTGAGCGACAGGTGCTTGGAAACGCTGTTTTGTACTCATTTATTGACGAGTCGGCTGCGGTGCTTCTCTGCCGCTCACTGCACAGAACAGACGCCGAGAGAGGCGACACTTCTCCGGGAAAGTCAGACCTCACGTTCGCAGGACAGCACTGGCAACTGAACCATAGCTAAGCTTTATCCAGAAAAGCCGCTAGGTTTCTCAGTATGAATATTCTATGGAAAAAGCCGCTAAAAGGGTCTGAAAGTTGCTAAATCTACTGCTAAAGTCGCGCTCGTGTGTGTGAGACGCGGGAGCTGTTGGCAGGGGGCGGTGGATATTTGTGGAGGTCAGTGTGGATATTGTGGATGAGTTCTTCTGTGTCATCACGTTCTATTAGTTCTACAGCTTCAGTTTCAGAACTTTCACGCTTAGTAACACATACAGCTGTTCCCTCACCACAGTGCAAAAGTGAAAAGGGACCCCTCTCAAACAGTGTCGCATTCCGAACGTTTTTTAAGCGACATACTGTATTGCGGTATTTTAAAAATGAATATCATAACAAAAATAAACACCGGTATTCGGTATGAACCGGTATACCGCCCAGCACTACATTTAAGTATATTTATTTATTTACTATGGCTATTTCAGGCATTTAACAAAAAACCCATTGACTTTTAGCATGATGGAACCAGAAGCACTATAATTCAACTCATGTCCGGGTTTTGGCCTCCAAAAATACATCATACAGCACTCTATTAGCAAAAAATGTGTTTTAAAATTTCTGTTCATCCAAAATGAATATGGATTATTTCACAGATATAAACGAAGTGGACTATACTATACAGATTACGCGTTTATCTGCTTCTAATAACCTCAAACAGGACTCTGTCTTCAAAGGTTCCACCTGGTAAACTGGCAAATCCAGACACTGCTGTTGCCCAGAGGTGTTTATTGAAGCCGGTCGGTGTGTTTTAAACAGCGTCCCAGTGGACCGATGCACTGACAGTCTGAAATACCTGCACTTTACTGTCAGGTGTTCCTCATGCTCCTCCTGAGACAGACCCTGATCAAACTGCATTTGCAGTGGGATGAATATCTAGTTTGTTTCAGGGTGCGCGTGTGTGTGTTTCTTTGTGTGTGTGTGTGTGTGTGTGTGTGTGTGTGTGTGTGTGTGCGGGTGTGCGCGCG